TAGTGCATCACATCCGCCGCACTCCCCGCATTCATGAGCCGCAGGGCAATGTACAACTTATGCCCCGTCATCCACGTCCCTCTCACCCTAAGCACGTTCGGGTGTTTGGACAGGGACATCAGCTGGGTCTCCCTCTGCAACAGCCGCAAGGGGTGCTGCGGCAGCCGGTCGAGGTCGAGCACTTTGAGGGCGCATGGGACGGGGTAGGGCGCGTTGGGGGGCTTGAAGACGGCCTGGTAGACGATGGAGGAGGCCCCGAAGCCGATGGGTGCGCCGATGTCGTAGTCGGTTGCGGTGTCGCTGAAGAGCTGCCACTCGTCGGGGACGGCGCCGATAAAATGGCGGGGGATGCGGTCTGAAGTGGGCATGGTACACGGCCTCTACCAGCGAGGTGTGTAGGTGGGTGGGTGGGTGTGAGAGCCCGGGGGTAGTGTGTGTAGGGGGAGTGAGTGAAGAGGGAGGTGGTGGTAGCGGTTGTGTTCAGAACAGGGCTGCCAGGGAGACGAAGGGGGACGTGATCGAGCGCCTGTGGTGCTTAGTACGCAGGGCGGCATTCATCACAGTGATGCTGTCGAGGATAACCTTCGCTTGGCATGGTGCTGGGAGGAGTTGTGAAGGAGAGGATTGGACGGAAGCGGGAGCGAGATGGTGTTTCTGGTGCAGAAGATCGAGGAAGGCACGACGATCGGGGTGCATCTGGCCGGATCGCGACGGATGATCGTGGTCATAAGAGACAGAAAAACACGAACACAAAACAACGACACGGAGAAATGGCAACAGCAGAGCTGGAAGAGGATGCGACGCGGTGTTCTGAGCTGGACAGAACATATATGGCCTCGGAGGTCAGTGCATATGAAGTCATCGGACACTCTTCCTCGCTCTCTATTCACTCTCGATCGGCATGTGTTTCTCTCCTCGCTATCACCCGCCGTGACGCTGTCACGCGTAATCTCCGCCCTCCCATTGGCCCAGCCGCGCCCGTCGGTCACACTCGGTGTGACGAGATAAGGGACGGGTGTTCCGTCGGACGGAGGAGACGCCCGGACTGGAAGTTGAAGGGAGACGCGCTGATTGCCCCGACGCCCGTCCTCTCAGTCCTCCCTCCTCCTCCTCCCTCCTCCCCCTCTCCTCACCGTCCCCCGCAGCCGACTCCCCGTTGCTGCTCACCCCGCTACATGGCACCAAAGCAGCCCTGTGCCAAATACCAGTACATCCTCACCGCAAACGGTCCCAAGATCGTCCCCGTCCCCGACTCCGTCTCAAAGGACGAAGAGTCTCCCGCCGATTACAACTCCGGTGGTTATCTCCCTGTCAAACTCAGAGATACCTTCAAGGACGGCAGATACCACGTCCTCCGCAAACTTGGGTGCGTCGCAATGTCTCCCCTCTTGCTTTCGCATAATTCGCTCATCACAATTTTTCTTATCTGTATTGGTCATACGACACAGTTGGGGTCATTTTTCTACGGTATGGCTTGTAAAAGATACCAAGTGAGTTCTCTGTTTCCTCTACGGTTTGCTGGCTCTCGTCGCTGCCATGCCCCTCGACGAGTGCACAGTCATACGCGTCGCTTCTCTGACTGTGCCCCGTCTGCGGTCCCGGAGGCGATGTGACTCCCGCCCCACGAGGTCGGGGCTGGTGCCACCTCGACAGATTCTCCACTGTGGCTCCTCCACTGAGTCCGGGGCGCGCTACCAGCGCAATAGAAGGCCATAGGCTTCCATGTGAGGGCCAAGGCCTTCCTCGGTCAATACTGGAAAGGTTTTTCTTGGACCATAGGAGCGTGTCTGCACTCACACGATGAGTGTGTGCGCACCCGTGTCTTGGCGATCGAGTGACAGAGACTGCACCCGACACTCCGCTCACCACCTAGTCTGGTATGCACGTCGACGGTATCGATACTGACTGACGCGTTTTGCACTTCTCCAGCACCAACCGCCATGCCGCCCTTAAAGTCGTCAAATCCGCCGGCCGCTACGCCGAAACCGCGCGCGACGAGATCAAGCTGCTCCAACAAGTCATGGACGCCTCACCCAGCCACGTCGGGCGCGCCCACATCGTCTCCTTCCTCGACTCCTTTACGCACTGCGGGCTTTCCGACGACGTCCACATCTGCTTGGTCTTCGAGCCGCTGGGCGAGAACCTGCTCGCGCTCATCGAGCGGCACAAGGCGTTGGGCGTCCCCGTGGCGCTGGTGAAGGTCATTGCGAAGCAAGTATTGCTTGGTTTACAGTATTTGCATGACGAATGTGACCTTGTGCATACAGATATCAAACCTGAGAATATCAGTAAGCCATGGGTTTTTGACGCTGCTGTTGTTGAAGGCTTACTCACCTGGTCTTAGTGATTTCCATACCGGACGTCGAGTCCCATATCCAAGCCGAGCTTTCGGTGTCCCCGTCACCGACCTCACGAAAAGTCGGTATTCCGCCTAAACAAGCGAACCGGCCTGCTCTTGCGATTCCGCGACGTGCTGGAGGGCGTGAACGGCATGTGCAGATATTCGATTCCCAGCCACTCTCCAGTCCGTTGCACAGTGCCAGTTCGAGCCCTTCGAGAAGGCATGGCCTGACGATGTCGCGGATTAACAGTGCGCAGAGCATGCAGAGCAACTTGTCGTTGTCACACGACCTGAAGGGGAAGGGCAAGCAAGGGTCGGACTTGACTATGTCGACGGGGTCGACGCCTGATTTGTCCGACGCGTCCACTGGCTCGCCTTCGCTCAAGGTCTCCACGAGTATCCCCACGAGCACGAACAGTATCGACACCCCGCCGACTTCGCTGGGAAGTATCATGAGCGGGGTCAAGAAGCTGTCGATGTCGAGTCCGGACGCGTCGAGGACGTGTACGTGTCTCACGGATGCGTTCGATGATGAAGCAACGACGACCACGGTCACGGAGAGGGAGGCGACGTCTCCGTCGGTAGTCCAGCGCGAACAGATCCCTCCTGCGAAGCCTTCTCTCCTCTCGCAAACCGCGCCTCACGACCTGCACGACCTCCGATGTCCATCCCGCACACCTTCCCCACCCATCGTCGAATCGCCCACAGCCGCAGAGCCCCCCGACTCCCCTGCGTCGCCCACACCACCGCCGTTCCCCATCTCCGTCAAGATCGCCGACCTCGGCAACGCCACCCCCTCCCGCCGACACTACACCGACGACATCCAAACGCGGCAATACCGGTCCCCCGAAGCCATCCTCGGACGCACCGACTGGGGGTGCAACACGGACGTCTGGAGCCTCGGTTGCGTGGTGTTCGAGCTGCTCACGGCGGAGTACTTGTTCGATCCGCAGAGCCAGGGGGACGTGTTTGGGAAGGACGACGATCATATGGCGCAGATCGTTGAGTTGGTGGGCGATTTTGGGGAGGGGATGAAGTTTGGGGGGAGGTTTAGTAGGGAGATTTTCGATAGTGCTGGTGCGTTTCCTTTTATCCCCACTTACTCATTCTATTCTAGAGTGGCGAAAGTGACTGACCTGATCCTTGTGCTCCCCCAGGGAAACTGCGCTACATCCGCAACCTGAAGCCATGGCCCCTGAAGCGGGTGATGATGGAGAAGTACCTGTGGGCGGAGGAGGAGGCGGCGGCGCTGTGCGAGTTCCTGGAGCCGATGCTCGTCGTGGACCAGCGCGAGCGGGCGCAGGCGCGCGAGATGGTGGGGCATCCGTGGTTGGAGGTCGATTTGGAGAAGGAGGATTTGGAGGGGTGGTAGGTGCGTTGTGGTGGAGAGCAAGCACGGGTGGGTCAAGGAGAGTTTAGCCAGCCCCCAGATGAGGTCGTGCTTTTGTGCGACCTTGTGCTGCGATGGGCGATGGGCGACGGGCGTTGGTGATGACGCCATTGGGCACGCACATGTGTTTGGGGTCTGGCGTGACTGGTCCACCCGCTCGCTTGCTTGTTTGACCGCCCGGTCAAGCTGCGTTTCTCCTTTCGGGTTCCTCTCCTTCTCTTTTTCTGTTTGGTTTAACTTTATTTGACTGCGACGGTTCTCTATATACCTTCCAGGTCATCAGTAATCGTTCTCCTTCTCTTGTTCCTTTCACCTCATTGCTCTTTTATTCACTCATCATCATCCTCTGAACTCTTCACGCTCACGCACGCACGCCACATTTCTTGTCATTTCTCTGCGATTGCTCTACTGCATCTGTATTACCTGACACTTCTCCCGACCCCTGCAATAACTGTCTCGTTGTCCTTGTGTCTGTGTCTTTTGTCTCTTTCCTCTCCCACTTCCGATTTCAATTTCTCACCACCATGCCTTTCTCCTTACTTCTTTGCACATCATCATCATCATCATTTTTATTAGACTCCCCACCCACCCATCTTTCACTAGACTGTTCAACACAACACAACACCCTACCCCTTCCCCATCCCCGTCTGTCTTGTTGCAAATGTTCCTGTCTCTGAAATCACACTCACGTCTCTTTCACGTCCCCCTCACGTCCTATCTTATTTTATTTCTTCTCCCCCAATTTCATTCCCGTACGCTCTTCTTCTTTCTCCCTTTTCGTCTGTTGGGTCTTCTGGTTTCCTTTGTTCCGTGGCTTCTCTACTCCAAGTACATGTACGTTGTTGCTCCCTCACGTCTCCCGGCTCCATGTGTATGTTCCCTCCCTCACATCTGAATTCTCGTTCTGTCCCCGGCTCCCTGACTCGTACATACAATAGTAGTGTTTCTGTCACCTAGATGGTACATAGTTGGTTTCTTTTGTGTTTTTGGTTTTTTTGTGGTATACCATCCCCTTCGTTTTCTCCTCGAGGTTACGTGCGAGGGAGTAAGTGACGAAACGGTTGTGAGGAATTTTCTCATCTCGAAGGTCTCGCATTATGTGCGCGGGTCAGACGATATGGCCGTGTACGCATTATCGACTTCTGCTTCAAATGAGTATGCACAACTTCCCGACTTCCAACGAAATGGAGAAAATTAAAAACAGGGTTGCGCTGAGACTACTGTGTAAGTCTTCTGAGGAGTGGAGACAAAAAGCAGACATTCGTGCATAGGCGCTACCAGGGCTCGAACCTGGGTTATGGGAATATATGACGTCGCGCGAAAGTCAGAATCCCAAGTGATAACCACTACACTATAGCGCCTTGAACGTTACCGACTTTAGCTTAAACATGTTGTCACTGCTCTCATTACTGGAGAACTTCGCAGACCATTCTTTCTTCTAAATTTTCACGACACGCTCAATCCTGGTAGCGTTGATTCTTGTCGGTACACATGCTTCAAGACTTCCTACGTACGGGTCTAAGAATTGTTTCTTCATCGTCATGGTCGCTTGCTCTTGCGCCTAGATAGGACACTGTACTACTGGTAGCCTATATTCAACTCGACTACATACTTGGATATCGAGTCGTAGCATGGAACTGCTCCTTGTGCAACGTCCGCCTCTCGTACCATCTTCTGCTGCACCTGAAACCCACCCGCCTTACCACGAGACTACAAACACGAGACGCCATGCCGCGATCATCTCAGGCAGGTCCGAGCTCAAGCTCCAGCGAGGAAATGAGAAAGGTGAGAGCGTGGACGTCAACAACCCATCTGTCCTTGCGCTTCATCTTGAAAAGGTGGACCATGTCGCGAGGGAAGCGTCATCAGGAGTGTTTCAGCTGGCTGACTGCGATCCGAAGAAGTCCCTAGGCATGATGACAGGTATCGTTACACCACCTTTCTCCTCGACAGCATATACCACTGCCCCTAGTAAATCCGCATCATCTTTCTGTCGCAAATGACGTACATTCCCGCTGTTCCAATCCTTCAGCTGAACATCAGTCCCTCTGCTCATGTTTAGCCACATATCGTCCAGGAAAAGCAAGCCTTTCTTGTAATTCAGCCAGGCGTCGGTCACAAGACGCGCTGACTGGCGGATATCATGGCCTTTGAGGATCCTGAGCTCGACACCACAGTACCCGTGGTATCGCGACCTTAGCCCCGCGCTTGCTTTCGGATCGCCCGTCAACCACTTGCGAAACTCGCCCTCCGCTGAATGGTCTTCCCCCCAGGCCATGGAACCGCAAATCCAAGCCAGACACCAAAAAAGAGACTCCAAGTCGTGGCGATACTCTCGCTTAGTCCAGCCACCAACGCCTAGTTCGTCCAAGAGATCCAGCGCTTGGAAAGGAATAGTGCCTGTTCGCTTGTGTCCCACTCGTCGAGGCGTGGTCTCGCCGGGTCTTCGAAAGGAGATGAGGTCGAAGTCGTTGAGGATTCCTCGTTTTTTCTCGGAGTCGTACATTAAATTCTGCACGCTCAGATCGTTGTGGCATATGCCAAGCCTCCACAGGAGTGCATGACCTGAGGTCTGATAAATACTTTGAACGCAGATCGGAGTGAATGTCGCGACTCACATCGTACGATCTCCCAGTATGCCTTCCAAATCTCATCGCTGCTCGCCAACGTGTGGAGAGGAACCAGTTTGCGAAACAGTAGTACGCGTAGCAAGCGTACCCCGTCGGTAGGCAACTTCAACAGATATCGGATGGTGTCTGTGGCCGAGTCAGGAAAGTTGAGACAACCGTATACGGTAGGAATGTGGTCCTGCACCATGGTCTTGATCGTGGGATGGTCTTCCGAGAGTATCGTGGCCTGACTGATAGCGTCTTCCTCCGACATTCGAGCCATCTCTGGCCAAGATGCTTTCAGAAAGCGTCTGGTGTGTTCAACAGCCTTGCCGTGCGCTTTGCTGCTGATCGCGCGGGTTCTGCCCACCGCAACAGCGTACGACGTCCGCTGCAGAACATCTGCGCCGAAGGTGTGTCGTCCAATCAGCTGATAACGGGCTTGGATAGTTTCGTTGTCGACGTAGTAAGGCGTTTCAACCCCCGGAAAATTCAAGTTGTCCAAATCAAGAGTGGAATGGCCCCACATCCTCACGTCGAACCTCTGGAAGATCATGATCATTGCGACCAAATGCGGTAGGTTTTTAGTGATCTTGATCCCCGACGTCTGGATTGGCCGTTGCTTGTCGAAGTACCACAAGTGAAGCACTTCATCTAAAAGGCAAAACGAAAGTGAAAAGGGTCGTCTGAAACATCAAATTCGGTGGAAGGACGGACCCTTCATCAGAACATTTACAGTGTGAGAGATACCCGGATGACATCCGAGCCTTTCACCAGCATAGAGAGCACACTGGGCGTATGGTGGAAGCCTGGCACCAACGGGCTTGGTCTTCTTGGAGGGTGGGGTAGGTCGTGACATAGAGGAAGAGCCTTTCTTCGGGGAGCTTCCTGCAGATCCTGTGAATGTATTTGTTCAAAACACCTGAGAGTTGGACCGACGGCGTGGGAAGCCTGGAAATCGCCACTAGACGAACCTTCAGCTTCAGAAGTCTGCGACAAGGCCGTGTCTGACACATAATAGAACGTGTCATCGTCTCCCTTCTCCGCCATCCGTTCGGGAGGAACCTCTCCACCGCTACCGATGATGCCCGTGAACACCATTTCTGAGTCAAAGTCGATTTTTTCCCGCAAGGCCTTCAGCTCCCAGCTCTGCATAGCCAAAAGCCAGCTCATCACCTGAGCTAAGTTTTCGCCAGGAATTTTCAGAAGGTATCCCTTCAGCATACTCAACAGCCCGGAGGGGCTCGTCCCGGTAGAATGAACGACGTGTGCGATGCTCTTGCAGGCCAGAGCCAGAAGGTCGGGTTTACGCTTTGAACCTTTTGTTGGTAGGCGGTCAGAAGTAATGATGGCCGGATCGTTGACATGAAACAGAAATTCCTCTTTCTTGGAGGGTAAATCTCCGAAACCGAGTTGGACGTCACGAAAGGTCGTTAGAATGAGATTCAGTGCCTTCGTCAATGGAGCACAACGATCATTCTCCGCGCTAAGTTCACAGCTTCGTTGATCGAGCGCAATGTACAATGCAATGTGTCAGCGAGGTCTGGAGTTCGTGGAAAATGTCCACTCACTACTGCATGATGAAGCGACGCAACTCCGAGGACTTCGATTGCAAGCTCTTGATTTCGATCTGGGTGAATAGCACACCTCCCAACTTCTTCACTTCCTGGACATCATCCTGCACCGCGAGATTGACGAAATCTGTCGCAACGCTGAGGCACTGTCGCAACTGGGGCTCTGCATTACTCATCGCAATCTTAGCTTGGGCGGCTGTCATTCGTTTGTCATTCATGATCTGGCAGATCAATGCTTTCAACATGTCCTCAAACGAACAGGTCTGAGAGGAGCGAAGGCCTTGCAAGATGGGCCCACGTATGTGCCTGATTCTGGGTGATGGTCAGTCTCGAGTGGACTGTCAAGTGATAAAATAAGACATACGTTTCGTCGTGCAAAAACTCTGCTTCAGATGAGGTGCCCTCGGTCTGAGGGGTCGACCGGTCTTTCTGGATGTCGAGGAGTTTAGGCGCCGTCCCTCAGCTGGGAGGCATACAGTGGCATACACGGAGAATCAGAACCCACCGCGTCTGCCATAACGGTTCGACCAGACACTAAGTGAGAGGGAATTTGCTGAGAATGTATCGGGGCAGGAAAAGGTGTTATTCTGTTCTCAGCATGTATAAGAGCTGTGGCCTGTGTGATGTAGTTGCAAGTGGAGAGTCGCAAGCAACAACTCGAATTCGAAGCACGCGCGCGTCGGACATGGAATCGGACAGTGAAAGACGCGGACCCGGAGTAGCTTCAAAGATGATAACATTCTGTCCCTGTGGACTACTAGAAATCCGATTTAAGGTTGCAAGATACCTACTAGGATAGCATATTACAGCTCTGTCCAACCCACATCAGGCTCATCTCCTCCATACAGAGAGATCAAAATAAACACCACAACACTGGCACTGAGACGCATCCCCAACCCACGATACAGCTGACCTAACCCCGTATTCCTCAGCCAGCCTCCTTCTTCATCTGCAATCTCCACTCGTTCCCGCCCCTCCTCCTCTGGCACCGGCTTCCCAGCCGTGGCTTTCCCCTTCGCACTCATGCTCTTTCGTCTTCGCTTCCGCGGCTTCAATGGCAGGTCCGACCGTTCCTCCGTCACAATATGCCACATCGCATCGACGATACCGTTGTAGGGCGCCGGTCGAAGCTCCACGCACGACTTCAACGGCTTCGCGGTTCCGCGAACTTGAACTTGCAGTCTCCGACGAACGGTCTCGAACGGGATGGTAATCAGGTACCCGGCACAGCTGCCCAGCCATTCGGACATTGCCCACATGAAGGGATGGGTTTCTGGCGTTACGGAGACACCACCAAAGGAGAGGTAAGAAGCGACCACTCGAGGCATGACGATGGGGATAAGAGAGCGGAGGGTGCAGTCGAGAATGGTAGGAAGGAACAAGTGCGGGTGGAAGTAGATGCCTTTGAGACCGCCTTCGTCTGTGAGGATTTGAGTTATGGCGTCGAATGGACCCGTATATGAGCGATGTCGCGCCATGGATGTCTGAACCATCAGGCGTGTTCGGACAAGGTCCAAGGGAGAAATGAGGAATCCCGTGAGTACCTGCGAGATCACAGGGAGGGCATACGCGGTAAGCCCATGTAGCGAGTCTGGTGAAGGGCTATCCGAGGAGAAGATGGCTTCCAGTAGCGAGAGAATGGTCGGCTGCAAAGTCACAGCCAATCCGTCCATGATGGTGGATGTCAGCAGACCTGGCGAGTTTCGTGAACATGCAGACCTATCAAGTAACAGCATACTACGCACCTTTCCAGAGCGCAAGCCAACCTTCGGGTCGAAATCGGCCAAGTCGCTTCATCATCCCCCATACACCATCCGCACTTCCGACAGGTATCACATATTCCGGCAATGTTCCTTCCTCCAAAACGGACTGTCGCACAACATATCCTCTATCGTCCGAAAGCAGATGAGGGGCGTTACGTCCAGAGTCGGGATTACTGGGGTCAGCAAAATATGAGACGTCGTTCTCCATAGAAGTATCGCTGAGCTGAACGTAGAGTCTAATAAGCGTTTTGGACACAGACGATCGAAGTAGAACGTACATCCTCCTCGTCGGATTCGTCTACAGTCAGAGACGCTCCTGGAATCATCTCACCAGCATCTCGTGGAACCCACTGCACTTGCAGAAGGGTTTTCCCGACATCCCAAGGCACGGTTACCACACTCGTCGAAAATCGGA